TACAGATATACAAATTGCTAGAGTATTATTCTTTTGTACTTTGTTATCAAAGTACTAATTACAAAGAGGAGTATGGTTCAAGCCGCTTAGGATGGACTCTCCAGTGCTCAATCTTGTATATTTTTTGTTTTTCCTCGAAAAAGTTATGTTTCAATGAGTCTGTTTTAATGTGATATGTGAAACTTTCTTAGTTCAAATCGCGAACAAAGCAAAGTAACTCACATGACGTAATACAGCAATAAAGATATCAACAATAATGTTATTTTTGTAGCTGATATTGTTATTTATAAACAAGAAAATATTGGTTTTTATCGCCATTGCATAAAGTTAGTTAGCTGCAAAAAATTTTCAAGACTATTCATGGAGTTATCGGCACTTATCAATTTGATGATATTTACTTTTTGTGGGATTTATCAAAGCGTTTTAATTATTGCCATTAACGTAGGATTGATATTTTATTGGACTAAAACTCTATTTTAACTCAAGCGCTGCGACGGTTCAATATGGTATAATTTTCCGTTACATGTATTTTCGGTAATATTAGGCTTAGAGCTCTGATTAACTCATTCTATTCGACGATTCCGTAAGGTTTTTGAATACCCTCAGAGATATGGCTATCATTTGATATGGCCAAAAGGTGCCTCATCGAAATAACGGTTTTAGAATCTAGGTCTCTTTCGACCAAATCCATTTCAGGACATTTGGAGTCGATGTAGCGATATCCATCCGTCCGACTGTCCGAAAAACTTAGATCGAGTTCCGAGATGGGCAATATCGGTCCACTCCTTGTGGTACCTCCTACACAAAATGTCAACATTTTTAAAGAGAATAATTTACTGCACAGAAAGAGAAAACATAGTTCGATTTTGCTCCAAAATTTGCGATTCCTAATATTTGCATCAGTGCTAGGTCAGGTTGGTCCACTCCATCGAGTACCTCCCCCACAAAAGGTCAAAAATTTGAATAATTATAGCTCTTATAAAATGTGATGTGAGAGTCCGATTTTCTTCGAATTACACACATCACAATATATTTATTAACCCAAGGTCTGGTGTGAAGATAGAATATATCGGTCCACTCATTCTGGTACCTCCCCCACAAAAGGGTCAATATCAATAATATTTATGAAGCTCATAAAAGACGAAATTAACATCCGATCCCATTCAGACTTGTCACATCTCAATATTTTTATACACACAAGATCTGTTATAAATATGGTAGAAATCGGAACATTTCTTCTGGTACCTCTCCCACGCTGGGTTCAATCTTAGTGCGCTTTTCTCTATTTCTGTTTATGCCCAGTAATTGGGATCCTGAAGAGATCCCTAAAGGGACAGTATTGTATGTCGGTATTGAAAATTGTTATTTTAGGTTCTATACGACGACGTAAGCCATTACAATATTCAAATGCGAAACTTGAAAAAAATCGGTGAATAATGTAGCTAAAATCATCAAAATACCGAATATCGAGAGTTGCCGTTATAAGGTGGCTATACGACGGCGTATAGACAAGACAATTTTCTGTCATAGCTTGTACTATCCATTACGAAGTTCAAAGGCCAAATCTGACTTACTCGGAATTTATGATTTCGTATGAAACTGAATATAAATGTTCGAATAATCATAACTCAAGCCTGGGGGTATAAATAAGTCGGCAAAACCGACTGATTTTACTTGTAATTGAAGAAATCAGCAGGTGGACGTGAAACGTTAACAAAAGAAATCGGAAGCAAATGCCTACCAGCAACGAATGGGTTGAATATCTCAATAAGAAACATCCAGCATATTTTCAAATGACTGTGCTAGTTCGCCATAGATCTTTAGTTTATTTTACTTGATCATAAATATGTGTAAATTACATTTATATCAAAAGCATTTCCCCTGACAAACGTTTTGCATTTTGGGCCATGTTCCCAACATTTTGAGATTCGTAATACATGAGAAACGCTTCAATATATTTTTAATAGATTATTCAACTAGTTATAAATAACAATTGAGATTCGAGCGGTTGACTGTATTGAATGTATAAATAAATAAAAATATTGTCTTTATTTATTAAAACCGCAGAACAAACACAGAAAGTGTTAATTGTTATACACAATTTAGTTGTCCGTTTGTATTTTCAAACCGCAAAAATGTTGACAGGCAGATGTTTACACATGCAAATAGATCACTAAAATAAATAGTGGTGAGAACAATAAATAAAAAATTCACAGTTTTCGTAGGGGAGGGGCCCCCGTTTTCTTAAACGGTACTTTCCGGCTTTACTTCCCACATTTTCTAAAGTATTTTATTCAAGTCCAGTAGTTACAGCTCTTAACATGTATCGCTCTGAAGCGAGGAGCCTCATTTTGTAACCATTCTTGAGTGGCGCGTGCTGAGTGCGATGGTGCTGAGTCCGGTTGGAATGTCTAAGGTCAGCGGCAAAAATGTTTGCGTGCCCAGGGCTTTAATACACCCTTCAGAATATTTTCGCGATGATATTCGGCATTTTTTCTGATGCCACGGTTGATTAATACGAGCGGAGAGCGACCATCGGCTGTTATGACAGCCCACACCATCACCATGGCCGGCGCTTGATTTCTGGTAGCCAACAGCTGAATCATGAAATGGATACGATCTTCCTGACAGTATTTTCCATAATTAGGGATCTGCCTTGTTCTTCAGGATCAACACAATGGACCAGCAGGATTCCGAGTGGAGCAGTTACCATTAGGCTACCTTTAACCTAACCTAAGACCATGCCTTCTTCTTTATTATGAATTAAGTAACCCATCAATAATCTCGAATTTGAATACTTTTTTTCGAAAATGAAAATATCACCTCTCATTGAAAAACCCTTTGTATTCCTTTGTATAGATTCTTAAGGGATAGAGTCGAATATGGTGTCCACGGCGTCCTGTGGAGTACCCTTAATTGCACCTGAGATACATGGATACATGTATCATGCTGTTGCTTACGCAATTCTTACAGGAATAGCGGCGACAAGGCCACTCTTAATGCACTTTACGTTCTTTCCGTTTATTCCGAGTAATTGGAATTCTGAAGAGATCCCTAAAGGGACAGTATTTTTCTTTGTAAAAATGGCCGATTCTATTTTAGATGTGTGAACACCCGGGCTGTGCGTGTCCTAAAAGATCTCCTTCCACTAGTTTCGTATTAATGAAAAATTATTTTTGTGGCACGAGTGATCTACAATATGTATGCCGGGAATCCGGGTGCTGGGTGAACCTTAGAATATGAACGAGTAGAAAAGCAGGCAATTTTCAAAAAAAAAAAAAAAAAAATCCGTTAAAAATGCTGTTAAAATCTTTAAAAAATTCTGAATGTAGCCGATATAGTACGACGACGTGGACCTGCATCGGCAAGTCTTGTCATAAGCTATTACAATATTCAAATTCAAAACTCGGTGTTATGTAGCTAAAATCGTCAAAATACCGAATATCGGAAGGTGGGAGGTGGAAGGTGCACAGACAATTTTCTGTCATAGGCTGTAGTATCCACTACGAACTTTAAATACCAAATTTGAAACAATTCCGGAGAATAATGTCGCTAAAATCATCCAAATGCCGAATATCGGGAGGTGCCGTTATATGGGGGCTATACGAATACGCATGATCATGCACAGACAATTTTCTGTTTTAGATTGTAGTATACATTACGAATTTCAAATACCAAATTTGAAACTATTCCGATGAATAATGTCGCTAAAATCATCAAAATACCGAATAAGGAGGTGCCGTTCTATGGGGGCTATACGAAGATGTGAACCTGCACAGACAATTTTCTGTTTTAGGCTGTAGTATGCATTACGAATTTCAAATACCAAATTTGAAACTATTCCGATGAATAATGTCGCTAAAATCATCAAAATACCGAATATCGGGAGGTACTATTATATGAGGGCTATACGAAGGCGTGGATCTGCACAGACAATTTTCTGTCATAGGCTATAGCATCCATTACGAACTTCAAATACCAAATTTGAAACATATTCGATAAATAATATTACTAAAACCATCAAAACATCGAATATCGGTAGGTACCGTTTTATGGGTGCTCTACGAAGAGGTGGGCCTACACAGACAATTTTCGATCAATTCCGGTGAATAATGTCGCTAAAATCATCCAAATACCGAATATCGGGAGATGCCGTTATATGGACATCGGAATGACAAACTTAATATAACCTCCATAGTATGGTGGAGGGTAAAAAATGTATAAATGAAACAATATCTACAATTTGTATGAACACCAACACCAGAGCCCATTTTGAAATTTTCTTCTGCATTTCCTGGAGTGTCCCTTCCTCGATGCCCATTCTTTTTAAAACTTCTAAACTCGTCAAAAGCAGCACACGACACTGTTTCAATTTTTAAATTTTTAATGGTTAAAAGAAATGGAAATTTGTTTTTCTTTCGAAAAAACAATAAAAAGTTTTATTATTGCCACCCGCGCCGCCCTATAACCGCCACCTCCTCCTTCTCCTTGTGGAGTGCTGTTGTTTTTAATGTCTTTTACTACATGTTTTCCATTCTAAGTGTTAAGCCTACTACTTATTTGAATAGATAAGTTTCAATAAATCACATTAACAGGAATTACAGAAAGCAAAAGCAACGACAGAAACACAAGCAACTTCCTTCTCGCCCACCACTTCGTCTGTGTATATCGCGGTATGGATATGAATGCAACGGCACGATTTTACACCAACCAAACAACCATTTAGACAGCTAGACCGACCGACCGACAGACAGACAGATAGCCGAGCCATTTAAATCAGCAGTGGCCATAAACGACAATGTCCAAACATAAACACAAACACACACACACACACTTGGTCAGCTAGCTAACTGAACTCATGAATGCTTTTATCCGACCAACCATTTAATCCAACCACCACCCTTTATTCTACCTCTAAAGAATACAAAAGAAAAAAAAAACTTGACCATATCAAGCGGCAAAAATTTATCTATTTTTTCCCTCTCTGTGTTTAATTTCAGAGTTCCAACTTACAACAAGAATAGCAGCAGTAGCAGCAACAACAACAACAACAAGTCACCACAAGAATGAGAAAATAAAAACAAAACTAAAAAAGAAGAAAATCAAGCATTAAGAATCAGCAGACGGTTGGACTTAATAATCAACAGCCAACCAAGCAGCCAGCCAGCAGCGAAAACGAAAAACAGGAGCGTTTAATGTAAACTTACAAGAAAACGACGAAAACAAAGGAGAAAACAAAACAAAAAACGAAGCATTTAAACACAAAGCAAAGCGAAGCGCATAAAGTGCCCACAAAAGATCAACGGCAACACAAACAGACATGGACGAAAACGAACAAGAATTAAAAAGTCCCATGAAACGAGTTGGATCCACCCGCAAGGTGTTTCTATTCAATAACATACGACAGCAATTAAACGAACACTTACGATGCCTGGACGGTCGTGTCGAATCCCAAGTATCCCTCATACAAGAGCTGCAAGATCTCTTCCGACGAAGAGGCGAACTGGAACTGGAGTACAGTAAAAATTTAGATAAGTTAGTGCGTAGCCTACAGGCCCGACACAAGGAACAGAAACAGAAACGTGAACAGTGGCATATATTCTCGGCGTTTGCCTCATGGTCACATCTCTTGGAACAGACACAGTCGCTGAGCAAGGACCATGCCACACTGTCCGAATTGTATTCGGTAAATATTGTCTCTTCGCTACAGACCACCATCGAAGATGTCCAGAGGATATACAAGAAATGCCGTTCCATTGGCTATGATATCCACGAGGAAATCCTACGGGTCCTAGAGGAGTTGTATGCCACCATGAAAACCTATCAGAAATACGAAGCCGAGTGGAAGGCCGCCGAGGTCAAGCTAATGACAGCCGAAGCCCAACAACAGAAATTGGAACAGACCATACAGAAGGAGAAACTGCGAAGCAGTAAAAAATACCGCATGATCGAAAAGGAAATACTCAAACGACGTACCAAATACTCAGATGCTCGCATGAAGGCATTGAAGGCCAAAAATGAATATCAACTGTGTTTGGAATCATCGAACACCACCATACACAAATATTTCATCGATGATCTGAGCGATCTAATCGACTGCATGGATCTGGGTTTCAGTTCGATGATATCTCGTTGCCTGGTCATGCATGTCACCGCCGATCAGGGACGAGCCCGTGCCATCTTGAGCCAGGCCGATAATCTGGCTCATGTCATACACCTAATCGATAGCCAGCAGGACAAACAGAAATTCATGGAACAGTATCATGCAGCGTTCATGATACCCAAACGTTTCGAATTCCAGGGACAGTTCAGCAATGATTTGCTCGAACAGAGTGTCCAGAAGGAGCTGTATGTGGATATGGAGACCCGTTTGCAAGTGATTGGCCAAAGGTTGAATTCATTGCGCACTGAGTCCGAGGAGATTTGGAAGACCTTGGAAATGGCCGAGGTCAAGTTGCTGGAGCATTTCAACAGCAAGGACTGTGATGTTAGCCCTGCTTTTGTGGAGCATAATAAAGGCCTTTTGCAAAAGGGTGGTCCCGCCATGGCTTTTAATCCCAAACTGAAGGCTGAGAAAGAGGAGATCGAAGACTTCTATATAAATAAGATACGTGAATATATACGTGGTACATCGCGCATAGCGCGTCTAGATGCTAAGGCCAAGTATCTGCGGGAGATGTTGATAACGGACAATAATGCCGCTTTCACAAGGGAGATCCTGGACCACCCGATCAATAGTAAACGCAAGAGGATAGGTCGCAAAAATCAATCGGGAAGGCCCAAGTTGTTTGGCGGTTGCCTGGAGGAGTACTTGGAGAACACGGGTGAAGAGATACCCTTAATTTTAAGAAGTTGTATACGTGTCATAAATCTATATGGTCTGCATCATCAGGGCATATTTCGGGTGTCAGGTTCTCAGGTGGAAATAACCAACTTCAAAGAAGCCTTTGAGCGCGGCGAAGATCCCTTGGCCGACACCACAGACGCCTCCGACATCAACTCAGTGGCTGGCGTTTTGAAACTCTACCTAAGAGAACTGAGGGTGCCGCTCTTCCCGAAATTCTATTTCGAAAGTTTCATCTCCATAGCGGAAATGCAAACCAAGGCTGAAATGGTCAAGGGCATCAGACAGTTCTTGCAAAATCTGCCCAACTCAGTGGTCATTGTCATTCGCTATTTGTTCTCCTTTCTCAACCACCTGTCGGAGTATGCCGACGAGAATATGATGGATGCCTACAATTTGGCCATTTGCTTTGGACCCACCCTCATGCCTGCTCCCGAGGACAAGGACCAGGTGCAGTATCAGAATCAAGTAAACGAACTAATCAAAAATATGATTATCTATCACGAGGAACTCTTCCCAAAGGAGTTGGGCGGCTGCGAGTATGAGAAATACATTTCACCCCACACACTTGACATGGACGTGGGCGATTCCCCCTCCGAAGTACTGACCGAAGATCCCGAATCGGATGCCTATCCCTCCGAAGATGAGTCTGAAGTTCTAGAAGCCGTGGCCCAGTTCGACTTCAACGCCCGCTCCAGCCGGGAACTGTCGCTGACAAAAGGTGATTGTATTATCTTGCGCAAGCAGGTCTCCAACGATTGGTGGCAGGGTACGGTGAACGGCAAAGAGGGCCTAGTGCCCGACAAATACATATCGCTCAAGCTCAAAGATGAAGCTCGTCTGCCCGCACAAAATTCACAATCTATGGAATATTTGTACTTAGAGAATTCATGCTCTTCATCCACTTCAATGTTAGTAGACAATAAAGATATCGCAAAGTATGTTGTCAATGATGTTTATTTTAACCATGCTGGTGGCGGTGGTGGTGGTCTTGGTGGTAACTCAGCCTGCAATAACACCTCTGCTGCCGCAGCAGCTGCTACTGCTTCGGCCCCGGCCTCGATCAGTGTGCTGGGTGGCAGCAGCAGCTGTCTGGGTCTGGGCTTGGGCCCCCATAACAATGGCAACGGTACAGCGGGTGCTATTTATGCTGTGCCACATCAACGCAAAACCAGTACCGGCAGTGGCAATGGATCGCTTGGAGGTGCTAGTACTAGTGGTGGAGGTGGTATTGGCTTTGGCTCATCATCCAATGCTTCTGGCGATTCTTCATCATATTCGTGTACAGATGGTAATGCCTATGCCGTTACCAGCGAAGTTCATTTATTTAAACACTTTGCCTCATCATCTCCCTCACCCCATTCTAATGCCACCACCAATACTAATACTTCTTCTACTACCACTCCCACGGCTCTAACTTCTACCACACCCCCTCTGCCTAGTAGTGGTCCCAATTTCACATCAACACCTCCACCAATTAACCATTCATCCCTAATGAAACTCTTGAAAAATCATAGCAAACAATATCACGATGAACCGCATTCCTTCGAGAATGCCATCGAATTTCAGAACGCTTACGATGAACAGGTGGAAAAATTCGAAACGACTGTATAGAAATAAGTAATGTGATGGTGGTGATGAAAGAGCGCAAGCGCACAGTACAGGCTAAAAACGCACACACACATACACACGTACAGAAAAAGAAGAACACAAGTGCGGTACTGCACAGCACACACACAGATAAGACTTGTGAGAAACCAACCAGAAAATAAATGAAAAAAACTAAAGTATGTGAAGTGTCAGAGACAGGCGCACAAAGGACTCAGTCACAAGCAAGCACAAGTAGAGGTATAATAAATAGAAAGATATAATGTGAGAAAGGAATTGGCTCAAAATCCTATATGCACACAGAAACACACACACAAACATTTAGCCATAAATCAGGTTAACTCAAGAAGCAAGGATCTCAAAAAAAAGAATATATATTTTTTTTAATTCCGCGGACAGAATGAATGATTTTATAGTTGTGATGCTGCTGTGTCGTTCGAGGTTTTCCTTTTTTTATTATAAAGTAATGAATGCTCTCTACAGGAAATGAGTGAAAAACTAAATTAAGCTAAAATTGTTTTAAAAACATTAGCTGTCGATTCGAAAAGAAAAAATTGAAAATCTCAAAATTATTGTAGATAGATTATTTTTCTAGTAACACTAGTTGTAGAGTGGAGTCATATAATGTATTGTGTTTTTTGCCCTTTTTTAATTTTTCAAATAAAATATATGCCCATTTTGTTTTACCGATTAACATGGAACAAACGATTCTGAATTGTGTCCCAGTGAATATAGTCTATCTATGTATTTATAAGTATCGAATAAATTATGTATAAAATATAATAAAAAATTTCAAATTTCAATATTTAAACAATGCATGTCGTTTGGCTTTATTGAACCGATTTTTGACGAAATGATTTTGAAAAAAAAATTGTTAACAATCGAGAATCTTCTAAAATAAATTGTATTTAACTTTTTTTTTAATTTATTATGTTTGCCATTTAAAAGAAAAATAAGGATATTTTTAATTTTTATAATTATATTTTAAATAAAATTTGTACTCAACACAAAAATATGTTGGACTTGTACTGACATTTGAGATATAAAATTTTTGTAGAGATATGAAATTTTACAACTTACGAAACTTTTGAAAAATAGTGGGTCATGTAAGGGCATAGTCCTACCATTTATGTATATTTAGTTCTGAATTAAAAGTCCTCGGCTAGACCAGAATAAAATATCGGTAATAAGATAAAAATATCGGTAATAAAGTAAAAATTGAAAATATGACAAATTGGTTTTTTGCCGTTATCATAAATTAACAGGACGACTTTTCATCAGATATAAAATTTCTTGGTGTACAAAACTAGAGAATGAAGCCATGTCCAAACGAATGTCTGTCCGAGACGAGAAAACTATTTTTCTCGAATAGATTAGCCTGGGGACTTATTTCCCAAATTTCGTAATATTTGATGACTGTCTGTATTGGAATATGAGAATAAAATTAAGGGCTAAATTTCAAATTTCATTGCAAATACTTTAAATAAGTTCTCATAAAGGAGGTTAGCCCAGCCAAAAAGCTCTCATGTAAATATACTATAACAATACTCAAAATGTAGAAATATTTACTTAATACCAAGAGGATGTTGTCCTTCTTCTTGGTCCACGGTCTTTTGTTTTGGTACCTTTTTGGCGAAAGGTCAACATTTTGAAAAGTCAAATCAAATGGAATTCTCAATTCAAGCAGAACTTTGGACAGGGTTGTATTTTTATCAAACGTTGCAAACATTTCGGAGAGGCCCAAGTAGCAAGAAAATTGACAATTAACAATAGTGACAGAAACTTCGCCAGGCTGCGTGGTTACCTGACTAATGTGGATGCGATAGACTTCGCTGCATACCAGTGTTTAATGCAGCTTCTTAGGTCATAATAGCTCAACGCGAACAAATCATAAAATTGATTTTGGATTAAATTGGAAGAGAGACAAAATATTTTTGCTACCCGTAAATCTCAATCTTGAAATATCAAACAGATGGGAGCGTCGAAATTGCCCCCAAACTTCCATGAAACTTACATTGATATTGTACACCTGCTGGTACCTCCCATATGAAGTTTTTTACGTTTTGAACACTTTCTCAAACAAAGTGAAGGTAGTCTCCTGTTTGGTTTAGCATTGGCACTCTATATCCCATTATGCCACTCCCGCAGAGGTTCAAATTTGAAAAATCAAAACTTTCATGTCGAATTAAATGGGATTGGCGATTTGCTCCATCCACCATTCAGATATAGCTACAGCTCCCATATTTATTTTTTTAGCCGATTTGGTGTTAAAGTCCCTCACATGCGTAACATGCCCCCAACAACAATGATTACAATGATACGGGGCATCAGATACTGCTCAAAAATACCTCGGCCAAATTTTATGGAGATCGGTTCCGATTTTTACATAGCTTCGGTATACACCTTCATTCGATTTTACGGCTATTGTTGTTCATATATGTTATATCAGCCCTGACGTAAATGTCCGATAGTCTTCATAGTACACACATCACAATATTTTTATTAACCCAAGGTCTGGTGTGGTGTGTTCCTTCTGGTATCTCCTCTCACAAAGAGTCAAAATTTTGACTAACCATGAAACCCGTAAAACGCGAAATAAGCATCCCATTCTTTTGAAATTTCATACATCGCAATACTTTTGCATAAGCAAGATCTAGTGTGAAGATGGTAGGTATCGGATCACTCCTTGTACCTCCCCCACAAAGGGTCAAAACATTGAATAATTATAATTTTTAAAAAATTTTAACTAAGTGTCCAGTTATTTTCAAATTTGGCATGTTTCAACATTTCCACTAACATAAGGCCTGGTATAAAAGAACGGATTGAACAGACCACTCCTTCCAGTACCTCCCCCACAAAGGCTCAAAATTTGGAATAACCATTAAGCACATAAAACGCGAAATGAGCATCCGATTTCTTTCAAACTCGGCAAATCCCAAAACTTCCATCAACGCAAGATGTGTTGTGAAGATGGACAATATTGGACTACTCCTTAGAGTGCCTGCTTCACAACGGGTCAAAACTTTTAAAAAATGCGAACTTTTCGAAATATTATGAAATATCTAATTTAAAGTGAAGCAAGTAGTCGATATAAAATCCAAATCTGATTCGTTTTAATTTTTTCTATCAGACTTATGTGAGATACAAACCTCTCCTATGAAGGGTCAACAGTTTGAATAATCATAACGCAAGTCTAAATATATTTAAGTAACCAAACATTGGCTGACGGCATGCAGCTGTCGGCGATTTCATTTAACTTGTTTTATTGTATTAAACATCAATACATAGTAAGTCCATTAGGACATTTTTGAGTTTCAGTTTTATTTTTTTTTTTAATGAATAAGGATTTTAAAAATAACATTCTCTTAATTTACCTCTCATGTAGAAGAGAAGATTAAAAGTCGACATCATTTGGAATACGTTTGTTCCAAGTCAACCACATTTTTTACAACACAATCTTAGAATATTCTTCAAAAGAAAATATGATCTCTTTACTACAACGGTGATCATTTACACATATATAATTAATATATATAAAAACAAAAACCAAAATCTATACATAATTATGTGTCGCATGTTCAATAAAAATAATAATAATATACTGATTTAAAAGTAAATATAAATACAGAAAACAAGTCCTCCTTTTTGCAAAATTTTGTCTAACCATATATAAGAGAATATTTCTTAATGTATTACAGAGTTTAATAAAAATGTAAGAGAATGCTCAATTAATGACTAACAAAAGGATTATAATTATTACTGATCCTTCTCATACACTCAAACAAATTTGTTGTAAATTAAAGGCACACAAATTCCATTAGAATTGTAAAAAACAGCCACATTGTCATGCATCCATTATTCATTCATTACTCACTCACTCATTCATCCATTCTTCCATTTTGCTCGAACAAAGCCGCCTAACATCAAACTGAAAAAGAAAAAAAAAAAAAAAACGACAAAAACAAAAAAGCAAAACGAAATATTCAATATTTTTTCAATACAAAAATCAATCCAATTTATCAAATCAAACTAATCAAATATTTAAACTACAAGAGAATTAATTCATACATATTTTTCTACTAAAATTACATACAGCAAAAAAGTAAAGAAAATAACTACTATGACAAAATATTTATACTTATACTAAAACATTACTAAAAGGAATATTGAAAAAAAAATAAAACAAAAATAACTTAAAATATAACTAACAATATTTTGCAAGAAAAACAAATAATTACTAGAAATAAAATAATCAAAATCAGTTGGAAAACGATATTTAAGAAAACGATCACAAAATGCTATTGCCATATAATTTTATTATAGAATGAATAGCAGAGTTGTACAAAATGTATTAAAAAATTATAAGAATTGTAAATGTAATTTCTAATAAGAATTGAATTTGGAATTGTATACAACAGATATTGTAAAGCAATAACTATGTTCAAAATGAATGCAATTGTACCTCCATATATTCGGTATTTTGGTGATTTTAGTGACTTATTCATCGGATTTGTTTCAAAATTCGTATTTGCAGTTCGTAACGGGTACTACAACTTGTGACAGAAAATTACAGTCCTTGCCTATGCAGGCCCACGTCTTCGAATAGACCACAAGCCATTCCATATTTTTATGGTCTCAACAGTATTTTTCATTTTTTTTTTTTTTGAAAATCTCCTAATTCTTTCCAATTGTTGGATGGTATTGAAAAATCGATCCGGCCGAACTTACTGCTTTTTTACTTCTTTTGCTTTATTTCTTCCCACTGTTTGGTCCGTTTCAAGTGTATAAATCAAGTTTACGAATATAAAATAAAAATATTTTTTTGGACCTCTATCCGCTACATGACAAATTTGTATATCCTCAGCCATATGGTTAGAGAGGTAGGGTATATATCATTTGATACGGCCAAAACGTGCCTCATCGAAATAACGGTAGTAGACCCTAGGTCTCTTTGGACCAAATCCGTTTCAGGACACTTGGAGTCGATCTAGCGATGTCTTTCCGTCTGTCTGTCTGTCTGTCTGTCTCGAAGAAGTATCCGATTTCGTCCAAACTTGCTACATCGTAATGTTGTTGTGAATATTAGATCGAGTTTAGAGATGGGCAATATCGGTCCAACCCTTCTTGTACCTACCTCACAAAATGTCGATAACCATAAATTGTGAATATCAAAATGTATGGCTTTCGCCCTATACGCCCATGACAAATGTGTTATTTTAATTTTTGTGGTGAATTTACTGCCAATAACACTTTTCTCATTCATCTTATAAACGTACGCGTTCAGATTCCAAGTCGATGGGCTATATTTAATGTCCATTGTTGCGATATTATATTTTAAGGCCGAAATTAATTATTTTAATGGTTTTATAGTCCAGTGGCCAATTTCAAAAAGATTTTTTTCTGGGTGCCTCTCTCCTCTGCATGATGAATTCGTGTCACAGTCATTGACTTGAAAATTTAAAAAAAATCCGTAGATTTTTTTTGGAATAGACAGCAGTATCCATTACGAACTTCAATTATGAAATTTGAAACGATTCTGGTTAATAATATCGCTAAAATCATCAAAATATCGAGTACAGGGTGATATTAAAAACTGCAACAAAGTCAAACGCCATAATTTTGCAAAAATGTCGGAAATAACATCAAATTTTAGAATAAGTTTAGATTTTTTCGAATTGGTCCCCTTTGGCACGAATTATGGCATTCAATGCCAACGGCCAATGAAACCATCACATGCTGCCCGAATGTTGCTCTGCGTTATTTTGGCCCATTCCCTACGAAAGGCTTGCTTGAGGTGATCGACACTTTGGTATTTTTGAGTGCCAACCTTACTTTCCAAAATACTCCAGACACAATAGTCCAACGGATTGGTATCAGGAAATTTTGGTGGCCATTGTGTGCTGGAAATGAAGCGAGGAACCTCGCCTATTCTTGGTTGCGCGTGCTGAGTGCGGCATTTTTTCTGATGTCACGGTCGATTAATACGAGCGGGGAGCGACCATCGGCTGTTATGGC